TTGGTCATCCAGAATGGCACTACTTGAGAGGAATGAGGAGGTGTGGCCTTGTCTCTTTGTTTGAGATGGGCCGGTTCTAGTTGCTGATATTTTCTTGGTTTAACTTCAGTGCATTGCATGTGTCTAGAAATCAGTGCTTTAGGTTCAGCTTCACAGAGTATTTCCTGAAGACTTTCTGAATTTCTTTGATAGCTGTTGTGTTCTCTTGATGTACACCTGTAAATTTTATTAATTTGAATATTCTTTGTCTTCATTTGGTTACTTTTACCAAGGGTTTGCCAATATTTGTATCTTTATCTTTCCTTTTCTTATTATTATTTCTAAACATCTTAAGTTTTTTATTTATTGATTAAAGTTGTTCTTGGACCAGTTCACAATATATGGTACACATTCTGATCACTGTGGGCCCCACCCTCTTTTATCTTCCCCCACCCTTGTCATTCCTCTTTCCTACCTAAAATCTCTTGCCTATATTCACGTCTTTTCGTTTTATTTGTGGCCACTGATTTTAACCAATGTCATCTGAGTGACTATGGGTCTGGACCTATCCACTTCAGTCTGGGGGCCTCACTGCTGGGCACACAAATGAGGACGAGCGTCCTTTCCCAGGATCCATCTGGAGCGAAGGGCTCAGCAGTAAAAAGTATCTAATTATCCCCTCTCTAATCCATGTGCTGTGGTTTGAATGAGGAAAGCAGTCCAGCACCTCATGTATTGAATACCCGACTCCCACCTGGTGGTGCTGTTTGGGAATGAAAGGTTCCAAGTGTCAAAAGATGGCAGCAAGAGTTGATGGGGGTGGGGGTGGGGTTCATGAAAGTAAAATCTGCAGCTCAGCAAAAGTATGCAGCAGAGCAAAGAGGCAGCCTGAAGAATGGGAGGAAATCTTCGGTGAGTATACGCTTGATGGGGATAGGTATTTAAACAGTGTAGAGAATGCAACAGGTAATCACCAAAAGCCAAATAATCCAATCAATAGACAGGTAAAGAAACAATCTGACACTTCTCGAAAGGTGAAGTGAAATTACCTAACGAACTCACATTAAAGGGGCCAAACTCTTCGGTCATCAGGGAAATACAAATCAATACTCGACTAAGCTCCTTCTAGGTATTCAGAATGACTGACACTAATGAAAGAACAAGGAAAGCCAGCAAGGATGTTGGAGAAGACGGACCCCACACAGACTGCTAGTGGGAATGTCCGCTGGCGACAGTCATGCAAACCAGGACAGTTTCCTAAATCAAAATCAGGGACATACCCCAAAGGGGCCTAGGCCAACACGCCCCAAAGGTATCTGCACACCTACCTTGATCGTATTGCTAGTGCCAGCAGCTGGTATGTAATGGGCTTAGACAGCCCTTTGGTAGAAGAACGGATAAAATGTGACTTTACACTGGAGTTTTATTTGGCCATAACTGAGAATAAAGTTGCATCAATTGTAATAGAATGGAGGGCTTTTAGATATTGAGAAAAGTAAGCCAGTCTCAAAAACAAACCACATTTTCTCTAATATGAGGACTTACATTGTACCTTATAGCTTATATTAGCCCATTATTCTTGTCTATGTTAGCCATGTGGCTCGGTCCCTTTTTCAGCGAGGCAGTCACATCTTGCTTCTTCCATGGCTGGTACAGCACTGCGGAAAAAGCTTTCCTCTTTCCAGCATTCTCTGTTCTCATTTTCTGCCTCTACTTCCTGTCTGGTTGTCCCACCTATACTACTTGCCTGGCTACTGACCAATCAGTGTTTCATTAAAATACAATTGACAGGCTACAAACCATTGTCCTACAGCATTTTTGAAAAACATGCCACTGTAAAACCCATTTCTTTGTCTAGTAAATATACACTAATAAAGAAAACCTTGAGTCATTTTTATGGATAAAAATGGAATACAATTCAGGAGGTTATAGGTAACATTCTTCGCTGGTCAGCTGGCCCTGTCCCACACTGGTCGCTGCAGCAGAAAAACTGCCTCTGTCCCTCAGGGGAGAGCTGGCCCCACACTCAACATGGGTTTGGAAGAGCTAGGCCTGATGGCTTGTCATAGAAGAGTTGGCTCTGCTCTCACCTGAGAGAATCAGTCTCAGCAGCCTGGACTGACCAAATCAGATCCACAACCAGGGCTTTGAGTTGGCCCTACCCCCCACATAACCTGCCAGAGTGTGTGAAGGGACTGGACCTTCAGAACCACAGCCACAGGATCTCTATGACTTGGGGCAACAGCAGGATATCAGAGAAGAGTTTCCATGAGCATCCAGTGATGATGGTGTGCCAGAAGCCAACGGCCTTACCAGACCAATCACTCATGGCTACGAATACTTGCAAGTAAAGATGAGTGGACGAAAGGGTCTACTGTGTGACACACCGCAGCTCCCAGTGCGATGAACGGAGAGGGGAAAGATGGAGCAGGGGTTTCTTTGTTCTCTTTTCCTTTCTTTTAATTTCTTTGGGAAGCACTAGAAGGTGAGGGGCTGATATAATTTGAGATGTTGCATATATACTGGATGGAGTTCAAGGATTTAATGCCCTCCCCTCCCAAAACATAAAGAATCTCATCAGCAAGGGGCACATTGATTATAAGCTGCAATCGTATTTTGGATTTTTTTTAGGTATAATTAAAATCATACTTTTAAAAAAGGAAGTCTCCCACTGGGTTTGATTTTTATCATGAATCAGTAGTGACTTTTATGAGATGATTCCTGTGTTTATTGGAATGATTGCACAATTTTTTCTTTGTTAATGTGGTAAATTACATTGGACAACTTTTGGATGTAAAACCAACCTTTCACTCCTTGACTAAAGCTCATTGATCATGATGTATATTATTTTCTCATAGAGTTCATGAATGTTAGCAATGGGGATGTGCTGTTAAACAACTGTTGCTGGGAAAACTGAACAGAGTTAACACAACTTGAGGTGGCTGTCTCCCATTGGGAAGGTAAGACTATATGGTCTCTTGTTGGGCATAGCATCATTATGGACGACACGGCTATACTATTTGATTTGCTGTCCTAAAATTTTGTTAAAGGTTTTTATCTTATATTTGTTACTGATCTGTAGCTGCTGCTGTCTCTCTCTCTCCTCTCTCTTGAGTTTGGAGGTAGCTTCTGAGTTAGCAAGAGGCAGAATTTAAAAGCCAAGTTTTGGGGTCACTTTATTTCTGAAGAAGTTTTTAAATAAAATTTCAATTCTTGCTAAATGTAGTAGCTTACACCTCCTGTCCTAGCTCTTGGGTGGTAGAACTGGGATTACTGAGAGTTCAAGGCCAGTTCTCACTACACAGTGGGTATTGGGCAGCTTTGGCTGCTAAGTGAGAACCTTTCTCCAAAAAAAATTGTTGAATTAATGCAGCACTATCTATCCAGGGTTTGTGTTGGTTATTGGACAAGGATTAAGACTCTGTGCCTTTTCATGAATTTGTGCACTAAATATATTAAAGTTGCTAACCATACTATGTTTACCACTAGGCCTTACCTTGAGTGCCATCTTCTTCCACGTCACTGATAGATTATTCTGTTTTCATTAAGAGTCTGAGTTTTAGTTCACTCCTCCCCCAACCTAGCTTTGGGGTTCCAGGATTTCTTCACTCCTGCTTCATTCCTCCACTTCCCCAACCTACTTTCATAGAAAAAGAAAAATGTTCTCACGTACCCAGTTTTGCCTCATACTATGTAACTAATGACCTCAAACTTCTAATCCCCCTGCCTCCACCTCCTGAGTTTATGAACCACTGCTCCCAATGCTTATGGCATTGATGACTAAACCAAAGGCTTCATGCTTGCTAGACACGCACTCTACCTGTTGGGGGCTAGACAGTATTGGAGACTGCCCAGAGGCGCTGATGATGAATGTGGGCATTTTATTCCTCTCCTAGCCAGGATCATACCACACAAGGTCAGTTGTGTACTGGTGCCAGTGGCTCAGCTAGGGTGCTGTCGTCTAGAAACTAGTACTTGACATTGCCCTTGTATGTGTGTCAATGTTTTGTTTGCCAACCCAGAATGTACCTCACTAAAGGGGAACTTAAGCTATCTCGAGTTCCTGTGTTTCTGCTATCTGATGCTCTTTACTGGTTTGTTTTCTGCTTCCCCATTTGAGGGGTGTAGAAGGTGCCATTAATAAATTTGCTCGCCTGGCTCATCAGACTTTGCAGCCCTCCTGGCCCCAGCTTTTGATTCTTTCCCTCCTTTCATTGTCTATTTCTTTTCCATCCCTGGTCCTCCCCTTTGGGACCCTGTCCAGAATGCTGGGCAGGGCTTCTACCATCTGGGCCACATCCCAGCCCCTTTTCTTTTTTAATAATTAACTTATTTTAACTCTTCTACCACATTGGGAAAATGCAGGGCAAACATTTTGTAGACTGTCCCCAAGATCTTTTTTTTTTTCTGAAGCTTCCTCAGAATTTGAATCTGGTGTTTGTGTAATTTCTCTCACTTTTGAATTTTTGACAATAGCACAGGAAATAAGCCAAAGTCCTATTTGACATATTCAAAAGCCCTGTTACCTTACCCACTTCTAGTGGCACAATGATCACCTGGTTAAAAGAGTAAATATCAAGTTTTTATATTGGAAACTTCTTGTAAGTAGAAGTGTCATGTGTAAGAGTTAAGTCCTGTGGGATAAAAAGTCTAAAACTACAGAATGATCTGATGTCGCATCTGATTTTCACTGGTAACTCTAGCATCCATGAATTATTCTTGCCTGAAATGATCATTGCTGTGCTTCTGCCCTTATTTTTCTACATCTTTAACTCCTCCGTGTACTAGCTAGAATTCTGCTGAGAGTCACATCTTTACTTGTTCATTTATAAACACACGCAAACTACTTTTTAATTCTGTAAGCTATCATCTGTTGCCAATGTACTGGCTTGAAGCATCGCAAGTTAGATTGGCAGGGTCTTGTCCGTGCTGGGTCCTGAGTCTTTTGAATGTGTCACTGTTATCTAAAGTGCACATTTTCTAAACCCTTCATGTCTGATACTTG